TAGTTCATACTTTGCAACACATAAAAAACTTGGATAAAACACTATTATACAATTATACTGTAACAAGCCATACATAGTTAAGATCATTAGACATGCAATTCACTTTTTTTAATTGTAAAAATTCAAACACTTCAATTTCTTTTTTTCAAAAAGAAAAATCCGCCTCTTACAGACGGGACAGTTAACACCGATGTATACGGCCTCAAATCCTGTCACTTGCCCTGTTCCTGCAGCCAGCACCTCGCACAGCTGTGATGTGTAGGGCGGTCCAGGTATCAAGTTGATAGTTAGCCATGATGTATTCTGTGTCCGAATTGGCAAAACGGCTAAACCACGCGGCCCGATGCAGACCATGATTGAGTCACTTGCTCCCGTGCCATTCAGCGACAAATCAGCAGAGCTTCCTTGAGATCGAAACCAGATAACTCGCGCCCATTACATCTGCGTCCGTTGCCCTTCACTGTCGCTTCCTCTCGTCGATCGAGACGAGCAGCAAAAGAGAGGAGAGAGAGGTCGAGAGCGCGAGGAGGAAAAACGACCGTGGCTCGGCATCGTCCCTGAGAGCCGAGATAGAGAGAGAGTGAGGAAAAGTGTTCAGCGGAGGCAATATACCCTGTGATGAGCGAGACAGAGAGCGGAGAGAAAGAGCCTAGAGAGAGAGTAGAAAAAAGAGGATACAGCAAGCTACATCGCGGAGTGGAAGGAGGGAGAAGATGGAAATTGAGAGAAAAGAGACATTACATTGTGCTGCTCACATGATATCATTTCCAGCTTTACGATAAGCGCCATGCTCCACATACGTGGTGACAGTTATAGCTGTCACCAAATAATATCGACTTGGGACCCTCCGCATCGTTATCTCAAGCCATCCTGTTTTTTAGACATCCTATCGCGACGTCTGTTCAGTTGAGCTGCCACGTCACTCTACCAGTCAGACAGATAGGTGAACTGCAATGACAGTCAACTATGAGAACGGAGACCTCTCCACTGACAGCCTCGCACTGCGACGTCGCATAATCAGGCAGCTACCTTGGCATGAGCTTGTAGCGATGTTGCTGAGAGACCGGTCTCATCTCAGGCCCGGCTGGCTAATCGCGGCCCTGCGAAGAATACTTTGAGTTGCCA